TGGACTCATCCTTTCTTCAGTGTGAAAGCTCTGCTTCCTCTCCCCTGTTTTGTATCAGTCTCTTGGGATGTGAGAGCCACAAGCAGAGTTGTTTTTGCCTACCTTTAAGATAAATCAATCACAAATAAAAAGAGGAGGAAACTTCTTATATAATTTGATTTTTCTCAGTGGGTACCTCTCCTCCATTCTAAACTTTTCTCATTCTCCAGTCAATGTGTTAAAAAAAAAAAAAAAGTAAATGAATCTAGGGAGAAAAGGAAAAAAAAAAAAGCCTCACATATGTGAATCACACCTGGCTTTGGCTCAATTTAGAACCACAGAGGGCCTAGGAATGGAGGCCTAAAGGCAATATTTTCTTTCACTGGTTAAGAAGGGTTGATGGAGGAAGGCTCTCTGCTGCCAGAACGCTCATTAGCTAGGCAGCCTTCCCAAGCCCGCTTCCTCCTCAGCCACCTCACCAACGCGAAACCTTTACTAGCTGAGGCCCAAGGAGCGAACACTGTCACTCCTGCAGATTGTCCATTTCCTGGGGAAGGCCTTGAGGTTTGGAGGATGGAAATGGTTGGCACTCGTGTGGCTGGGAGGAAATCAGAAGAAAGAGCTGCTAGCCCCTCCATTAAACACTGTTAACTTCCTCACCAAAGCAAAAGCAGGGCCGGGAGTGGTTTATTATTTGGCCTCTTAGGAGGTGTGGAATACATTAGCACACAGTTTTTGGATGGCCTTGTAAATGGCACACAGAGAGATTGCTTAGCTTCAAAAAATGATTGATACTTCTTTTACTTTAACAAATGAGAAATGTTCGTGACAGTAAGGAACCCTGTTACAAGCCAGGTTTTCTCATTAACAGTGAAACATGGATAATTATTCACTGGGAACATACACAGTGGGAATTCATGTTAGATTCCTTATTTTGACTATTGCTGCTCGCAACCTCAGAGACCACAGTATACACACAAAGACACACACATAAATATGTACATAAAAGCTCAGGGGCCTGCAGTCCATGTGCACTAAGAAGCCACCAATTTTGAGTACAAAGGAAGTTCTTAAGAATAACCTATGTGGTCAGTTAAAAGCCCGGAAAGACAGATCAGCAATGGAAAAGCCAGACAATCAGCAATCTTGTTCATTGACTTTAGTTGTATGTTGTTTATCTTGGTTGTTAATTTCCTTTTGAAAGATATAAAAGTGGACTAAAAGTAGACTTCCCTACAGCATTTCAACCTAAGATGCCTGATCATCCATATAAGTACATTCTCTTTGGTCACTATCCTGATCTGAATACTGTGAGCTACACAGCAGATAGACATGGCCTCAGGACTGAGAAGGTATTTTAGGATTGTTGTAGTTAGTATATTGGCAATTGTAATAAAGACATCAAATAACAGGAACATAAGGCAGAAGTGTATTTCTGCTTGAATTAGCTTTTTGTTGTTGTAATCAACAAGAACAACTTAGAGGAGAAAAGGTTTATTGGGGGCTGACAGTTTCAGAGGTCTTAGTCCATGTTCATCTGACTCTGCTGCTCTGGGCCTGCGGAGACAGAACATCATGGTAGAAGGACAAGATACAGTCCCCAGGGGCATGCTCCCCATGACCTACTTCCTCCAGTCACACCCCACCTAGCTATGATTAGCAGTCAATAGTCTATTCAAATTATTGATCCCTCAAGTGGATTAATCCACTGATTAGGTTACAGTTCTCATAATCTAATCATTTCACCTTTGAACATTGCTGCCTTGCCACATGAGCTTTTCAGGGGACACCTCATATCCAAACCATAGCACTGCTCCAAGTCATGATTAGAGGAATATGTTCCAAACTTAAGCTGACAACATATTATATTGGTTAGGGTCAGGGTGGAATTTCTTCAAACTCTATGGCTCTGACATCCCTTGGTGTTGTCCTTCCCCTCCCATGCCAAGATGGCTGGCTGTACAGAAAGAAGGCTGGAGAACGCAGAAGAACAAGTTCTTTTCTTTTAAAGATATGCTTCATAAGGTGTACACATCATTTTTCCTTCAATTCCCCTGAATATAACCACATGCTTCACCCCTTACAGCAAGGGAAGGTGGGAAAACCTCTACTCCAAGCAGCTATGTATGTAAACTTCAGAGGTCAGGCAGTGCCTGCCTAGAAAGCAACCAAATTAAAGCTATTTAAATAAAGAGTGATGAAGTTCAAATAAAAGTGATCTCTGACTTCAGTAGAGCTAAATGAATGAAAGTGAGCCAGCAAGGAATTTTAAGTTTCATAGATTATAAAATATTTGGAAAATATTTTTTCAAATAGCAAGATGGAACCACACTCTCTGCTCTCTCCCTTCTCCATTGTTCTTTTAGGTAAATTTTATATCCACTGAAATATATAACCCTAAGTGAAAAATTTTAACATCCATGTAACCATATTCTTATCTAACATACCTTTGACAATTTAAAAATCTCTTTTGGTCTCTTATCTCTTTTTCTTCACTTTGGTTCATTCCTATTACCACATCTTCAGTTTCACAGATCCTTTTCTATAATGTTTAATCTTGAACTAATCCTATTCAGTGAACTTTTCATTTCAAAAAAAAAAAATATGTTAGGGCTAGGGATGTAGTCGAAAGAAGAGTGCTTACCTAGCATGCATGAGGCCCTAGCACCACAAAAAAAAATCTATTTATATATACATATAGATGTGTATATATTATTTGTAGAAGTTCATTTATAACTTCCACTTTTTTCTCCATGTATGCATGTTTTCCTTTAAATACTTAAAATATTGTAATACCCTCTTATAATACCCTTGTTTATAACTCATTATCCCTGTAATTTCAGGATCTGTTTCCATTGACCAATTTTTGGGGGGTGGAGTCCTGGTTAGAGGTCACATTTTCTTACTTCATGACTAGTCAAGGAATATTCAGCTATAGATTTTACATCATAAGTGTCTGGGTTTTTTTTTTTATCTTCCTCTAGAGATTATTGGGTTTTCTTCTGTTAATCACTTATTTAAAGTTCAATTTGACCTTCTTAAGATTAGTTAGGGTGGATCTAGAATAGCCTTTACTCTAGGACTTTTCTGAGTTCTCCAGTGAATGCCCCAAATTATCAACAAGAATGACCCACTCTAGCTTATCAGAACTTGAAGCCTTTCCAGCCTTATTTGGGTTCTGGAAAATGTTAAGCTCACAGTTCCCTGGTTGCTCTTAGCTCAGCCTTGTAGAATTTAACCCTGTGCTTATACGTCTTAAATTGAACAAAGACTCAAGAGGAATTTATGCAGATTTCTAGGGCTTCTATCTAGCACCCCCATTTTCATAATTCTGCTCAAGAATTTCCAGCTGCCTTAGTGTCTTTGAACTTTATCCTTTGTTTCATCATATTGCCTAGACTGTTGTACTTTTCTTAGGATAGTCCTCAGAGTTAAGTTGTGCTCTCACAAAACATGAAATCCTAACGCCCAGCAGCTGTGAAAGGCCCTTATTTGGACTTGTGTCTTTGCAGATGATCAAGTTAAAGTGAGGTTAGTAATGTAGGCCCTAATTCAATTTGACTGAGGTTCTTATGAAAAGGTAAAATCCAGATGCAAAGGCAGACTTGAACATAAGGAAGAACACCATGTGATGTTTAATCTGTAATCTCTACCTCTCTTCATCCTACGTAACCTCCATGTATAACATCTCTTCCAGGAGCCCCTCAGTGGATAGCTCTATTGCACTATGCATTGATCCAAGTGATTGGATTAAAAAGGTCTACTTGGCTCCTATCACTTGACTATATTGGGAAGGGAAGAAGAGAGGTGGGGATGATGTCTGATATGATGTTGGGAAATCTTGGGACTTAAAAGCACTTTAAAGATCATTTCATTGGAACCTAAATGTACCTCAAAGATCATCACATGTTCTTGTTTACAAATTTGAAAACTGAAGGCATAGGGCCCTATCAAAACCTAGAATTCTCCTTGAGAATTATGAATTAGTATAACTGAAAATGAAAGTAACAAAATTAGGTTTCTTTTCTAAAACTTTCTGAAAAGCTGAGCTTCACCCTGAAAAGTTTCAGAGAGGCTTTAGTGTGCTTTTTTAAAAATCCTACATTAGCTGGGATCTTCTTGGTAGTCTTAACTATCTTAACTGTCCCAAGAGCAATAAGTAGAAAATAGACATTTTTTCCTAACCAAACTGAGGAAAGACCTCCACAGTATCTTTATTTTTAATGATTTCTCATATTTTAAACTTCCAATAAATATTCTATGGGAGCTAAGTCACTGGGGCCCCAACAGTGAATTTGGCAAGTATTCCAAATTTAGATGAAATGTGTTTTCTCTCATAGTAGCCATCTGTTTATCTTTCCAATTCTGGGATACAAAGGCTTAGGTAGACCCAATGTCTCAGCTTAATATTTTGGAATTTTAATGTATCAAAATATGTTTAATGAGTAGATAACTGTAATATTGTATATATTCAATTGAGGATAAAAGTTATCAAAAAAAAGTTCATGAAGAAATTAGATCAATGTTTAAAATAATTTTCCTAGTCTCAGGTGAAGATTTTTTACTTCAAAAATCATATAAAGAGTAAAATGAAGGCAGATGTTAGACTTTTACCAATTTATGCTTGATTCTTAACTGTTAGTTACCATGTAGTATGTTATTTTCCAATGTATAACATTTGAAGAAGCAATTTCTTAATAAAATCAGCATAGAAGCTAATTTGAAAAACCATGCAATAATGAATGCTAATTTTATCATTTTTTCTTACCAATTAGTACAGGGGCATAAACAGATCTAAGAATTTTTGTAAAATTTAATGAATAAGAATCACTATTCCAGAAGCCCACATAATAAAAATATCTCCTGTTTGTTAGGAATGACTAACATAAGATAAGTGCTAGGGGTAAAGCCACAGTATGTGTATGCCTTCTTGAGTCATAAAGACACGAAACAACTCTCCAGCAAAGTATCTTTTTCAGGCTTTGCCAATGGCTTATCTCTCCTCTCATCTCTTCCTCTAGGCTGCCCCATCAAAGGCTATCCCACCCCCAATATCACCTGGTTCCATGGTGGTCAACCAATTGCCACCACCACAGGACTGACACATCACATCCTGGCATCTGGACAAATCCTTCAGGTTGCAAATCTCAGTGGTGGTTCTCAGGGGGAATTCAGCTGCCTCGCGCAGAATGAGGCAGGGATGCTGATGCAGAAGGCGTCTTTGGTCATCCAAGGTAAGAACCCATCAGGCTTTAGGGTGTCAAAAAGAAAGCCCACCTGGGAACAAGATTCTCCGGGAATAAAGTGATTTCTGAACTCCCATGGTACCTAGGCCATGAAAACCAAAGCTGAATCCCGTTTCAGTGCAATGAAACCGTACTTCTGCCAACATAGCCCTTCAGAAGAGCCACCAGGTCCCATCACAGGAGAACCTGGTCACATCAGCATCGGTGCCTCCCTAAAGCCGTCCTTCTGATCAAATATTACTGTTGCTTAAGACCAAGAAAACACAACTATTTATCAAAGTTAATTCTATTTTCTAATTACTAGTTTAACTAGAAAAGAACACACACACACACACACACACACACACACACACCCCACAGAGTAGCCTACTTAAAATTTCGTGTTCCTTGTTGATTGGGTTAAAAAAAAAAAAATACCTCTTGATTGGAACACTATGGTCATTGTCTCCTGCTGGGGGAGGGGATGGTGTCCTGCCAGCTGCACCTTCTGGAGAGTGGTGGGCTGCAGTCACATGCTGAGGACTCTCCAGGCACCATTCCTTTGACCCTGGCAAGGAACAGTCTGTGAGCTTTCCAGGAATACAGGCAGGTCAGAAAGCCCCTGGGTGGGGCCTGGCATTCACTGCACCAAAAGAGTTGTGAATGAGCCAAATGGTGGGAAGAGAGCCCAAACCAGCCTTTTTATAGAAACTATGGAAGGCTTTTGAGTTTTCCCTAGGCTAGTTCTACCTGTGACCTTATGTGATATGCTTAAGGAAAGTCAAATGCTACTGCATTTATTCCAAAATGGAGGATTCTGTGGGAAGTGTCAGTTTTGTGCCAACATGGCACAAAAGGAGGGAGGAAAGAGAAGTAAGATTTTTCTGAGCACATAGGTTTTCCTCTTAAAAATTCTCCCCTGCCATTTTGCTTTCCAGAGAGGAAAACAAATGTTCCATTTTCTTGCCAGCCAATTATTCTCTGCTAAAAAAACAGAATCCAGGGCCTATCTGCAATGAGAACTTGCAAATAAGCACTCAGAGTTTACCAGCCCACATGTATTTTTAATAGCTTTCCTACCAGTGAGTCCCAGACCATCAAATAGAAAAACCAGAGAAATAGGCTTTTTCACTGACATCATTGTCTCATGTAAATGAGAACTCTCTAAAGAGGCTGTTTTTTAATAACATTTACAAAACTAAAAATCAAAAAAAAAATTTACAAAATCCAGCTCGAATCTCTACTTTTAAAAATGATTATCTCTGATATATTTATATATCTCTGTAGAAAAATAAAGTCCCTTTCTCATAAACCAGTAAGAGTACTTTAGTCAGTATTTTAAAAACAATAAGGGCTGTGGCTGTTGAGTAAGTCCTCTCTGTGTGTCCAGCACTGAGCCTGGCCCTTTACTTTCTTCATATCCAACCCTCACAGTAACATGATCACGTGAGAGTTATGGTAGTCATTTTTTGGAGGAATCACCTGAGGTTTCTCAAGACCCTGGGGCTTGCCTAATAGGTTGGAAATGGTGCCCACACAGAAGCAGAGCCTCATTTATAAGAACTTCTCCCTCTGCCTACATGCCAACCCCCAGCCTCCTTCCACCTTCCCCTGGCCCTGCTCAGAAGAAATGGAGTGAGGGCAGTGATGTTCTGCTCTCTTCACCTCTGATCCTCCTCTTATGACAGATTACTGGTGGTCCGTGGACAGACTGGTGACCTGTTCAGCATCTTGTGGCAACAGGGGTGTTCAGCAGCCCCGCCTGAGGTGTCTACTGAATAACACGGAAGTAGATCCTGCTCACTGTGCGGGGAAGGCCCGCCCTGCTGTGCAGCCCATTGCCTGCAACCGGAGAGACTGCCCTTCCCGGTGAGTGTGGCCTCCCATTCCCAGGGTGGGCCCTAACTTACAACCAAGTTGACGGTCAGCCCTCGTCTAGCACTTTGCAGGGAGAAAAGCAATCCAGGGAGCCATTCCTTCCTTTAGGCGTGGGTTTTCCAGGCCTCTCTGCCTTGCTGACAGTATCCTCAGAATGAGCCCCCTCTCTCAGCTCTGCTCATGGCCTCTCCCGCCCACCAGCAAATAACTACCTGGGATTTGCAAAGGCCTAAGAGGCTCTGATCTGTTCAGGGAGCAGAATATATATGTTCCCCAGGCCCTGGTCAGAGATATCTCCCATCCTGCAGTGATACACTGACTCTCTGGGCTTTTTATAAGAGAAAGAAATATCTTTCATTGTCAAACTGAGGGGACAGGGATTACTAGGCTCTACCCAAACCCTCTTTTTGTGTGACTTTAAATACCTGTGCAATCAGTGCTCTCTCTTTTCTACAAATAGTTGCATCTCCCTAAAGTTGGAATAAATCTCCATTTTCTATACTTGCCTTAACTTTGGATTTATATTCTCTGTACTTGGGCCCCTTATAGAGCCCCAGGATAACAAAGAATCTCTGCCTCTTACAACATCTTCTTCATGCTTCAAGAAGCTGTGAGTCCCACTGAGCACCCAGCCCCTAGTCTTAAGAAACTAGCTAAAGGTATGATGTCTGGGCTCGGAGTTGGCACCAGCATGGTGCTCGGAGCCTAGGGGGACTTAGCTTGGCCCTAAAATGCCCGTTTACGACCTATCTGTAGGACTTTCCTACACTGCTCAGGGAACCACTTTGTGTTTTGCCAGCTGAGTCATAAGGAGCAGCTGAAACCAGGAGAGACTCCATGAAATATGAAACACACTCATTAATATCAGCAGTTTGACTTGCTGACGGGAAGGTTTCCACAGGAATGATTAATGTCCTTTTATACCCTTCCTGAATGGGTAACATAGCCCATACCTCTCCTTTCTCAAAACCCCCACCCCAGCTCCCGAAAAAATCGCTGAAATGTATATTTAGAAATAAAAGTTGATTGAAATACAGGCCTGACATTCACCAGGGATCTAGGGGGGCTGGAAGGCTGCCCTTGCCAAGCTGTGTGAAATGAAGAAGAGATCTTGGACGTGCCAGGAACTTTTTGATTTGATTTGGTGATGGTCAGAGTCAATCAGCCTAATTTACTTCTGCAAATGAAATAATAATGGCTATTTCTTCTTTGGTTTCAATGCCCCCAGGAGTTTTAAAACACCTCATGCCTGCTTCCTAAGTGGCTCTGCTCCTGTGGGCTGGAAATTCTGCATGCAGTCATCCCTCTCCAGGGCAGAGGAGCAGGGAAATTGCCACAAAACTAAATAAGTCACAGACCCGGACTCAGGAGGAATTTGTTCCCCTTCCCACTACATGCCTCTCCTGAAAGCCAGATGTGGCGTCACTTGGCTAGGAAGTGCCATAGGTTCACCCTCCACTGATTTTCCTGCCAGGCTATTTGGGCACATTAGCATCCTTCTTTGCACACAAACAAGTGTTGCCCTGACCATCTTTCTAAATAGGACTAGGAAATCCTCCTTTGACCCAAGTAGCTATTTTCACCATTTCATGTTAGATAAGCCCCCAGCCCTTGCAATCAGGCAATAAGAGGGGTTTGGGTTTTTGGTTTTTCCTCCCCAGATTGCCTGAAGTGGCTGAACAACACCACACCTTTCCTCATTTTCACAAACTGTCCCTTTCCCCTTCTCTGAGAACTATCCAAGGATACATTCAAAAAGCACCCCCTTCATATTTGTATATGGATCAAATTCAGAGTGTCCCCAGATTATAGTTTGGCTTTATGAGAAAAGCCCATTTGTCATAATCTTGGTAAGTCTCACTTCTAAGGACTCAAATCGTAGCAGGAGCCTAAACATTCTGAAAACAAATAATTCTAACACATGTGCAATCCTTTAAGATACATAAGACTCATGGAGCATCGTGATAATGGAAAATTGCCCCAGAAAGCAATTTTCTTCATTTCTGAAAGATTAAACAAATTAAATGGGATATGGGTTAAGGTAAGATAGAAAGTATAGATGTTACCAGACAAAACTTTCACTTAAGTGAGACCCATACCTCCTGGGTCAAGAGGTAATAGGTTTGGCTCTGACTTCCCCAGGAAACTGTTCCCACTCAGAGACTAGGAAGTACCAAAACCACAGTACAGTGTAAGTAGCTAGAGGACTATCTCCCAGCCTTTTGGGCAGCTAAGGCAACTGACTCTAAATACTCTTTCCAAATGCACATTTCTGGTCAGTGACCCAAGGTATCATTGTCCTGAAGCCACTGTAACAAATTACCACAAACAGTAGCTTAAAGCAACTAAAACTGATTCTCTCACTGTTTTGAAGGCCAGCAGCCAAAAAAATCAAGGTGTCAGCAGAGCCATACTCCCTTGAAGGCTCTATGGTTGAACCGTTTCCTGCCCCACCCCTGTCCCCTGGTGCCTTCCTTGTTTTTCGCTGCAGGACTCCACCTCCTACCTCTGTGGTCACACCACTTTCATGGTCATACTGCCTTCTCCTCTTCCCTGTGTATAACCTCCTCTGTCTTTCTCTTAGAAGAACATTTGTGGTGGCATCTAAGGCCTACCCAGATAATCTCAGAGTTCTTAATTATGTCAGCCATATATTTATCTTATCCAAATAAGATAACACAGTTTCCAGGGATTTGACTTGGATATCTTATGGAAGGTCATTTTTCCAAGTAATTACTGTGAAGAGGCCCCCTAATTAACATCTGTGAGGCAACGGGCACAAGGTTCCTTCCCCAGGCCTCACCTTTGGGGCTCCTCTGATGCTTCTTCCTCTCCCCAGGTGGATGGTGACTTCCTGGTCTGCCTGTACCCGGAGCTGTGGCGGAGGCATCCAGACACGCAGAGTTACCTGTCAGAAGCTGAAAGCCTCTGGGATCTCTACTCCCGTGTCTAACGACATGTGTACCCAGCTAGCCAAACGGCCTGTGGACACCCAGGCCTGTAACCAACAGCTGTGTGTGGAGTGGGCCTTCTCTAACTGGGGCCAGGTGAGGGCCACACCGGCTTTTATTTGAAAGGTCATCCTCAAGGTGTAATCCCTGCCACAGTGGGAAGTAAATGCCACCACTGCCACCTCCTCTATGACATCCCCGCTGTCCCTAATCCCACTCTGTATCATTCCTAACACCCAAGGCACCTGGATCCTTCTCTAACCTTAACACACTCTAACCTTAACACACTGCTTGACCGGGCACACGTTTCCTTCCTCCACCCTGAGGCCTTTCTGTTCTTGGATCCCGGAACCCTCAGACACCTTCTTCAGACTCGCACACTCTCAAGCCACCTTTTCCCACCTGTTGTGCCAGTGTCCCCTCTGCGGACTGCTCTTGGCCAGGGTTCTCCACTGGTCACATAGTTATAAGCACCCTTTTTAACCACCAATGTCAAGATCATAACTCTCAACGAGCCCAGGTCAATTCCTCTGGGGTGTGATCAAGCTTAGGTGATTCTTAGAAACTCCTCAGGTGATGCTGATATACAAACAGGGTAGAGAACCATTGTCCTGAGTCAGGAAGACTTGAAGCCTAGCTCGGTCACCATAAAACAATCAACTCCTTTCTCTAATTCTCTGCCTAGAAGTGACTTCAGTCCCAGGTAAGCTCAATGGACAGCAGCAATGGGGGCTTATTTGACCCCAGGAGCTCAGTGATGGAGTTTTCTGTAGGTGCAGTGGAGGGTCCATGATGGTTCTACCCATTTGGAGTGAGAATTTTATGTTGGTGATTTTTAAAAGGAGATTGACACAAACTGAAGATTCCCAGGGGGTTGGGGAACCATCCTAAGCAACGGTGGACATTGCACCATGGCAGTAGGAATCCAGGGGGACAGGGTTCCTGTACTCTCAGTGTTTCTGGGCCAGGTGGGACTGAGCATCAGTCAAGAACTCCAGTATACATTAGAGAGGCAGGTTTTTCCCTGTCCAGGTGGATAAGGCCTATTAAGCATAGAATAGTTATCCTACTCAGCTTGTACTCTACTATTTTACAGTGTTATTGGCACCAAAGAAAATCAGGGGTGGAGGTGCTTAAGGGAAATAATATATACCATTTCTCCAGAAGTCTATGTTCAAACCCTTCTAGAGGCTTAGCAGACATGTAAGAGCTGCCGGCCAGGGCTGATGTTCAGATTTGTCTGGACTGGCACTCATTAGCAAAGGGAGTATTCTGACTTTGAGGCATAGTTTCATGGCTAGCCAGGTGGGACACTCTCCAAATCACAGACTTTACTGTAGGACCAATGTAACAATGTTTTTAGACAATTAATAAACTTGAAACTTGTTGGAATTGGTTTATTCATGTTCCTCTACTGCCAGCCTTAGGTGTAATCTTTGGAAAACAATCACTTGCAACTTCCTATGACATTAACATGCTGTGTCAGTCTCTAATATAAAGATCAAACATTCCTAGCCACAGAGTAAATTTGTATCTCTTAGCCATTTGTATCTCAGGTAAGCCAGGGGGTTAATGCTTAGCCTACTGCCCACCGGCCAACACACCTGTCCAGCCCTTTATTTCCAGAGGCTGGCCTATATGTGCTTCATATTCAGAGCAACATGAGCTCCACCTTGCTTCTATGCTAGAGTAAGGGGGTGCTGGGAAGGTATTTCTCTTATCTTGAAAAGCCCACTTCTGACAGCTCTCACACAACACAGCTCTGCTGCCAGGTCCTCAAGGCTTACTAGCAGTTTGTGAAGCTGGGATTGGGAACAGATCTGGGGACACATGGGAAATGTTTCTGCATTGACATCAAGGTCACTCAAGGGGACATTTGATCATTCTCAGTGATTCCTCTTCCCAACAGAGAGAAAAACACATAAGTCTTTTCTACATTATTTTCCCTCAAACTCTTCACTCCTTTTTTCTAAAGTCCCTAGGCCAGTATATATAGAGAATCAACATGAATCACCTGGGGATCTTGTTAAATATGCAAATTCTAAATATGATAGGCCTGGGGTAGAGTCTGGGATGCTTAATTTTTTCCACATTTTATTGGTGCATCATAATTGTACATAATGATGGGATTTGTTGTTACATATTCATACATGCACACAAATTAACTATCATTTGGCCAATCTTTCTCCAGCACTTCGCACTCCCTCCCCTTAGTCCTTTTCCTCTACTGATCTCCCTTTGATTTTGGGATTCACACACACACACACACACACATACACACACACACACCTTTCTTGTCCTTTTTGCTCTCAAGCTTCCACATATGAGAGAAAACATGACTCTTGACCTTTTGAATATGACTTATTTTGCTTAACATAATGGTCTCTTCTTCCACCCATTTTCTTGCAAATGACATTATTTTTCTTTATGGATGAAAAAATCCTCCATTGTGTGTGTGTGTATGTGTATATATATATATATATATATATATATATATATATATATATCACATTTTCTTTATCCATATATCTGTTGATGGACACCTAGGCTGATTCCATAATTTGGCTATTGTGAATTGTGCTGTTATAAACATGGGTATGCATGTATCACTGTAGTGTGGTAACTTTAATTCTTTAGGACAAATACCAAGAAGTGGTCTCACTGAGTCATGTGGAGGTGTAATCTAGTCTTTTGAGAGACCTCGGTACTGATTTCCATACTGGTTGTACTAATTTGCAATCCAACCAACAGTGTAAAAGTGTTTTTCTCCACATCCTCTCCAGCATTTATTATTTGTATTCTTGATGGCTGCCATTCTGACTGGTATGAGATAAAATCTCAGTTTAGTTTTGATTTGCTTTCCCTAATTATCAATGACGCTGAACATTTTCTTTTCATATATTTGTTGGCCATTTGTATTTTTTGTTTTGAAAAGTATATTTGCCATTTCTTAATTGGGTTATTTCATTTTTTTGGTGTAAAGTTTTTGGGATTCTTTAAATATTATATATTCTGAATATTAATCCTCTACCAGAAGAGTAGTTAGCAAAGATTTTCACCCATTCTGTAGGTTCTCTCTTCACATTAATAATTGTTTCCTTTGCTGTTTAGAAGCTTTTTAATTTAATGTTATCCTGTTTATTAACTCTTAGCATTATTTCCTGAGCTTTAGGCGTCCTATTGAGAAAGTCATCCTGTACCTAAAAGTTGAAGTGTTGACTGTATGACTATATATTGTAGGAGTTGCATGGTTTCTGGCATAATTCCTAGGTCTTTGATCTATCTTGAATTTATTTTTTTGTGCAGGTTGAGAGATAAGGGTCCAGGAGTTGGAGTGTGACAGATGCCAGAGTAATTTGTTTCTTTACTAAGCTGTTGTCCCAGGCCTCTGAATCTTACAAGTCTAGTCTCTCTTGATGATTTCCATTGTTCTCTATGGTCACTCACTTCAAAATGTACCTGTACGCCTGTTACTTTGGTCCATCTTTGTGGAGAAAGAGGCAAGTGCTGGGCACATCTCTGTTGCCAGCTTGTCTTCCTCCCCCAGTAGAAAGATTTTAAACAAGAGTTGCAAGCTCAGAACTCTTAATAGATTACCCTGTCAGCAATTTAGTGACCTAATTGAAAAGTAACAAGAATAGAGAAAGAGAAACCTAATGTAGGTAAGAAATTATGGTGATCAGAATGTATGCTTTGGTCAGTGGAAATGGACAGGAGATACTATGACAGTGTGATTCATATGGTTTCAGTGAGCCACTGGCTGTCAGAGAGAGGAAGCAAAGATGATCCTCGGATTTCTGTTGGAACAATTAGGAATACAGGAAAATGAAGATGGGTGTGATAAATGTGTAGTATGTTTATAAAATATTCCAATAGAGATATTCCTTAGACAGTTGGGTGTATGAATATGGAACTTAGAGCTGTGCTGACCAGAGTGTATTGAAAGTCATCAGTATCAAGTGATAACTAGATGTCATGGGTGGTATCACCTTGAAGCATGATCTAAAGAAAAGGCACAAAACAGAAACCTGGGGAACCCTAATCAAACTGTGAGAAGGTGGTAAAGAACATAATAAGAAATAAGTTTTAGTACATTCAGAGCATGATCCAACTCTGTTGTCCACAAGAGACTCTATTTAGATCTAAGGGAAAAATTAATGGAAATGAAAGAATTTATATAAAAGTTCATGTAAATTCTATAAATTCTAACCAAAGGAGAGTTGGGGGTGTCTATACTAATATCTGACAAAGTAGACTCTGTATTTAAAAAAAAGGGTCGACGATTAATCAAAAGTAGGTAGAACATTATGGTATATTCATAAAACAAAATGTTGGTTATCAATGAAAATGAATGTACTTCAGTTACATACCTGATGCTTCATGAGAAAAAGAAGCCAGAAGCAAAAGTAGGAATGAAATATGGTTCCTTTATGTAAATTTCAAAATCAAGCATAAAATTGACTGTGTTAAAGGTTCAGCCTTGACAGTGGGTACATTTGGAGAGGAGGAAAGGGGGAAGGGAGAAGACCTCTGGGGGCTTCTGAGTTGCTTACGGTGTTCACTTTCTTCACCTGTGTCCTGGACTGGCCACATAATTTGTAGGGTTCAGTGCAACATGAAACTGCAGGGCCCTTTCTCCACAGACTACAGCGAATGTAAAGATTGACAGTAGAGCACTGAAGCAAGCAAAGATCCCTTCTGAAGGTGTGGCTCTGCCACGCGGCTGGCTCCGTTCACTGTGTCAGAGCTCACCGAGAGCTTCTTTGCTTCACTCATATTTCTCCATGCACACTGTCCTTCATAGTGAGAAGTTATTTTTTAACATGGTTAAAACAATAAATTTTGTAATGTTTATTTTATCATAAAACAAAAATTAATTCTGAATCATTGGTATCAAGGGGTGTTCTTTACATTTCCTCCAACACCCATGTCTCCGTGAACGACCTTGTCAAACTGAGCCCTTCAGAGCCAGGAAGAGCAATCCCTGGCCTGGACAGAGGTGTCAGCCCAGGAGGGATGCTTTTACCTTAAGTCCCTGTCCTTCAGTGGTCCTGGATTTCTCTGAGCATCTAATGAAAATAGGAAGAGACATCTTGCTAGAAAATTTTAACATAAGAGTTGAGAGTTCATATCCCTTTGGATCCATAGGGATCTAAAGACTCCCAGATTAAGATTCTTTGTTCCAAAATGACCTCCCATTCTCATTAAAATAGAAGGAAGACTGGTGAAGTGGAGGAAGGAGGATAGAGGAGAGGAGGGCAAGGGGAGATGAAATGAAATGTACCAAATTATGTTATGTGTATGTACAAATATGTAACAATCCCATTATTATGTATAATGAACCAATAAAAAACTAATGCTTAGGACATCAATATCCTGGAGGAGTCCTCTCCAGGTGTTCCTGGACATCATGAAATGTGACAGGAAATGCATCTCGTCTCATTATCTTTTCTGTGCATTGGTTTTCTACCTCCTTTCTCCCTTTATAGCAGAAGGTCTTATTTTTAAATAGGCATCTATTAATAAAGCTCTCCATAAACTTTTTTAAAAAATAAAAAGTGACCTTCCAGGGATGTGTGTACCCCTTGTGCTAACATGCCATTTGTTGGCTCAGGCCTGCTGCTTTTGCATTTTATAGACAGTTCTTGGAGGCATTTGTTGCATTAGGGCTAGGTTCTGCCAACTCTGGGGAAAGCTTGGCAAGCACATGGCAGGAGAATATAAGGAGGGACTGTACATACCTCAGTCTGTCTGTGTTCAGTGTCCTGGGTTTGACCTGCAGAAAACAAGGCCAAGGAAAGGAAAGAAATGGTGGACATGGTTACTTGGATGAATTTAGCAAGAAAACAATAAGCCAACTTATTTTCCACACAGAAGGGGACAGGGGCTTGTTTAGATGTCTTCAGCTCTAAGTACATTCCTAGCACATAATGCCAAGTGCATTTTCATTTGGTTGATCTGGAAGTGGGTTGGCCTTCTCGGACTGGCTCCACACTTCCTCTGGCCTTTGCTTGCAAAATGCCCATAGCATAGCTAACTGTCCCACTGTGACATAAAAGAAAACAAGCCAGTGAATATCTTTTAGTTGGTCCAGAGAGGGAGAAGATGAATGATCTGACGACCTCCCAAAAGACCTTGCAAAACAATCCTGCATCCCCTGGGGCCTGAACATTGAGCACTTCGCTGACATGATATGTATTCCTTTTTCTGCTTTCCAGTGCAATGGGCCTTGCATCGGGCCTCGCCTAGCTGTGCAACACAGACAAGTCTTCTGTCAGACGCGGGATGGCATCACCCTACCATCAGAGCAGTGCAGTGCCCTTCCCAGGTAAGAGGAAGCCCTGGGCCTCCTCTCTCAGCCCCTGTGTCAGTAGCACAGAAACAAGTGATGAAAGGATGTTTCTTCTCCAACCTCCCACAGTGCCAAGGGTCAGATGCCCTGTCTGCTCCTTTCTATCACCCAGGCCACTGCCCCCCACTCAGAAACCGATGGGCCATATTATGCTTACTAAAGCAGCCAGGCTGGGCTTTCCTCTCAATAGGATGAAGCATGCAGGAGTGTGTTTCTCAGAGATGGGGGGTGTTGCCCTAATCCCAAGGCAGGCAAAGAAGCAAGGTCTACCTGGGGGCTACTGGACCTCCAGGGCTCCACCAGCTCCTCATTCTTGTTGACCCCTCTCTAGAAGTGAGGCTGAGATGAGGTGCCATATTCTGGATACCAACTTTTCATTCCTATCCAGCCCCCAATCCCTCTTACATCTCTTTGTAGATGTCCCCTGAGAAGAGAGCTTATCACCTCTCATAAGACTCCAGCCCCTGAGGCCAGGTCCAAGTTCTCCCTCTACCAGCCTCCACATGGCACAGAGCTCCTTCTTGGGTCATGTACAGACACAGACATTGTAGAGAAGAGCAGATGGAAGACCACTCAGGGAAAGAAGACTTTTGTGGCCATTCAGTAACAAAATAGAGATCAGAACCTAGGTCTGGTGATAATGGAAGTTCTTAAGGAGTTGGATGACCTTCCTGGTTTGGGAACATTATTTTCACATTTGGCCCCATAGAGACAGATCTTAATCCTGCCACCCTCTTCCTGTAGGCCTGTGAGCACCCAGAACTGCTGGTCAGATGCCTGCAGCGTACACTGGAGGGTGAGCCTGTGGACCCTGTGCACGGCAACCTGTGGCAACTATGGCTTCCAGTCCCGGCGGGTGGAGTGTGTGCATGCCCGCACCAACAAGGCTGTGCCTGAGCACCTGTGCTCCTGGGGGCCCCGGCCCGCCAACTGGCAACGCTGCAACATCACTCCATGTGAAAACAGTATGTTCCAATCCCAAAGACCTTTCTGCAATTTCCCCACAGGGCATCGGGTGCAGAGGGCAATCCCTAGGACTGAGCCTGAACATAGGGCACTGGATCAGGTACCCCAAGGATTGTGAGCTGGAGCCAGAGTTGAGCATTTACAGGCAGGTGTGTGGGTGTGTAAAGAAGTGTGTATACATTTCCTAGCCACAAAAATGGCAGCGTGTGCCCCAGGGGCTACCACCATCTTCATCCTGGTCCAGAGATGGCCAAGTATTGTTGGCCAACTGCTGGGTAAAATTGGCCTCTAGCTCACCTGCAGACCGCCTGATGCCCAGAAGGGGACGACCAGACAATGGCAGTCAGGAGCCCGGCTGCTAGAGAAAGCATTGTTAACACTGAAGCAGCACAGAGTGCTTCCCACTCAGCCACTGGCTCCCCTCCCATCGTTGTTTTGCTTCCCATGGAACAAGAACCTGCTGATCATCTCCCTCCTCTCCCACCCTGGGCATCCACCGAAACTGAGCAGAGCCCAGACCCTTGGCATTTGACACTCATTTCACTCCCTCTCCTCACAAGTCTGGAATCTCCTCAACCCAGCATCAGCATTTGTGTTCCAACTGGGTAGGAATCTTATTCTTTTTTTCTTCCTCTGAATCCAAAACCCAAATTGGAGACATTTCCTGACAAGGACCAAAAAAAAAAAGGAAAAAGAAATAAACAAATGTGGCTGAATTCAGTTTTCCCCCCAACTGACCTTCACTAAACAATGGATTCACAACACTAAGGCGGATCCCCTGTGAACACACAACCCTTTCCTTATGGTGCACTGGGGATGCATGATCTTTGGTGAAGTGCTGACCCACGTTGGTGTCATTCTCTCACCGTGTGCAGAGAGTACCAGAGTGGAATGCAACTAGCTCCAGACTGGCTTCCCAGGTCAAATCAGCACCAGTGATTAAAAACAATAATCTGCACCAGTACTGAGCTGGAACACCATGGTGTTGTGTTTAAGGCCTGGAGGGTAGAAAGAACAAGAATCTTAGGCAGAGAATACAAGAAAACAAACTTAACAGAGAATGTAAGGTCCCAGTGCCTTGAGGATAAAGGTTTCCAGCCAGAACCTCACCTGCATCTCCTTCCACGCAGGGCAGAACTCAGTCCTTCTGGGAACCATCTCAGGGAGGAGAGTCACTCACTAAAATACCAAAAGCCCATGGGGAAAAGCAAGCAAGGAAGTGAGGTAGTCCCAAAAGGAGGGAAGAGACAGGAAGTAGAGGCAACTATGAAAGGCAAAGAGGGCCCAGGAATGGATCCCATCATTCAGCCAGAGGACTGCAGGCTGGTGGCTGGCCCTGCTGTTGGCAGCCTGGGAGGCAAGTAGCTGAGCTCTACCAGAGTGAGACACACCCAGAGGGATGGAGCGCAGTGGCCACAGCAGACCTCAGCAGCCAAATGCCAGTTAGCCTCTGTTTCACATCTCCTTTCTGTCCCCTCCCCACCCCCTCCTTTCCCAGTGGAGTGCAGAGACACCACCAGGTACTGCGAGAAGGTGAAGCAGCTGAAGCTCTGCCAACTCAGCCAGTTCAAATCCCGCTGCTGCGGAACTTGTGGCAAAGCGTGAAGACAGGGCACAGGGAAGAACTCTCCCTGGCCACACAAAGGACTCACGCAACCACCTGGGACAGAACTTAAGCTTTGTTTTATTTATTTATTTCCCCCTCCCTCCCCTCACTCCCACCTCCGCCCTCCCCCCTGAGGACCTCAGCATGTTTTCTCTTTCAGTTAGCTGGAGGACAGAACGTTGGGAAAAGAAAAGGACAGATGTCAAAAGGAGGTTGCAGAGCAGGCCAGGCAGACAGCAGCCACTCCCTTACAGGGCCGACTCCCTCCCAACCTGGTCCTCAGAGAGGCCTAGAAAGAGAAAGCCAGGGCCCCTGGAAACAGCAGGGAGCCACAGGGTTGATAAAGAATTGGTGCAAACATCAGACAACCAGCATTATTGATGTGGTGTTGATCCTTTGTCTCCTCCTCTACCCACCCCCAACCCCTCAGTGGTGATAAGGACCATCTGAGGCAGAAGCCAACCAGAACTGGCTCTTCTCCTCCCATAGAGAACTCCAACACAGGGATAGGTAGTAGTAAAGGAGACAATCACAGTCGGCCTAGAAAACTCAGTGATGCAGGAACTGACCCAGGAAGGGAAAGGAGAGCATGAACAGAAGCCTGTGTCTGCTCATGTCACAGGCTCTGAACTCCAGAGCACCTGGCAGGTTCAGTGAAGGTGCACAAGGATGAGCAGAGCTCTGCTTCACTCAGAGTGCCCTTGCTGCATGGGAGGAGACCTGTCCCTCACAGGGGGAGGTAGGGAGAGTGCTGCCCGCTCCCCACACTACCTGAGTGAACTGTCCACCTATGCAGCTGCAACAAAGCCGGCCAGAGGTCAACACCTGGCTGGGCAGTAAGTCTGCCCAGCATCTCTTCTTTGAAATCAAGAGCCCCCAGCCTTGAACTACTAACTGCTGTGGGCCTGGGGCATATTCTGAGCAGGAGTAGGCCGGGTTTTCTGCCTAAACGGTCTTTGCTACTCTACCTAAGGGCCAAGGATTGGGGTCCCTTTGTAAAAGTCAATTCATACATCCATTTGCCAGAGAGTGAGTATCAGGCTGTGGCAAACATTTCCTTCCTGAGCTGACCAGGGAACAGGGTGGGACAGTGGGTTTGCAGGTGACTGGGGTACACTCTGCCTAATCCAGCAGCCAACTCCAGGGGCTGTGGTTGCCTGACAGAGCACAAGAGCTGCTATACATAGTATTTATGTGGCAGGTTGGGTTGGGGGGATGAAGAGCTGTGGCAAAGCCCAAGGATAGCTCTAGACTCCAAGAAGGTCCTGAAAGGCTTTTCAACCCACCCTCCCCACATGGTGAACACTCTAAACCCAAGGCAATTAACACTCACCAGCTGGGGCAGCTCATGCACTGCAGCAACACCTATTAGCTGTGCTGAGCTGGCCACAGCCAAGTCCGGCAACAAACACACTTTAGGACTATTCAGCCAATTGCTCATTCAGCAGAACAGCTTTGGGCGAGTGATTTTTTTTTTTTTCCTTCCTTCTCCCGCTGAAGGGCCCCAGTTTAGTAGGCTGGGCAGCCTCAGATAAGCCACCCCTCACACACTCGTGGGATGCCACTCACCCCAGGGCCACCACTGACATCAGGGCTGCATTTCCCATCCAGCCTGTAAAGTAAAATTTGGGAGGAAGACAATGTTAATCTCTGTCCTCTCTAGGTGAGCTGTGGACAATTAGGGTGGGTCTTTTAATTCCTCACCACAAACATAGGCTCTAAGAAATCATGTTACTAAAGATCAATGTAATGTTTATTTAAAATAAAAGAGAATGTTTTCTATGTATATCTTTTGTGAATATTTATTAGGATTTCTTGTATAAAAAAGTGCAATATTAATAATTGTACATTGTCATCCAGAAAAAAAAATATTGGGAGTTTTTTTTTTTTGTTATTAACTTCCTACAGCTGTGTTCCTGTAAATTCAGTGGTGATCATTGTATTTTTCCTTCTTTTTAATAGAAGCTGGTGTTTAACGCTGGATCCATTATTCACTTTGTACAGAATACTCTGTAAAAGCTAACATGGGATGCTGGGGCAACAGGTGATTCATTTGTGTCACAGGAGTGTTTTATAGAATGGTAAAGACTTCTTCCATAGGACTCACGTGGTTGATTACATCTAGTTCAACAGGTATTGAAAATTGGCAGCCAATATTTACATTTCCTTTAAAAAAAAAAAAAAACAGCTGTCTTCCAGCTCCACCACATGTCAAGGTGAGGAGTTGGAAATGGGTTTCAGAGCGAGACGGAGAGCCTAGGTGTGGGGTGGGAAGAGTGTGCTCCTTGCATGAGATGAATGTACATGTAATGTTTGTTCTGTGAATCGTGACTCAGCAGTACCGCAGATTATTAGGGCTGCTGGATAATGTGGAAGGAGGCACTTCCTCCTCTAAAACACAAAACTGTATTTATATTTTTTTTGTACAGATAATACAGCTTATTTATTTAAATCTTGTTGTCCGAGTCTCTGTTAAGCTCAGCCTTCCCATCATGTTTTATACTGGGGAGGAAGAAAAGTCCCTGTCAGTTTGGTGGTTCCCAGCCAGTTATGCACGTCTGGCTAAAATAGAAGGATTGCAGTTTTCAGCTTTGCATGGGAAGCTCAGGGCCTATATCTGGAAGGACCAACTCTCTAAATGAACCCAGAGGCGCTGCACTGGTATACAGGCACACATCCAGGCTGAGCCTGTCATCTCATTTACAGCCATATGTGGTATCCTGAGACAGATGACTTAGGTGTGGAAGTACCCTCTCCTCAGGTCAGACTTCCTATCATCAGGGTGTGCGCGGTGTCAAGCATCTGCATCATGAAACTGTGAATATAGACTGTTAATCGAGGCTAACCTTTATAGAGTACTACATTTAATCTTCACATCAACCCTATGAGTATCCCCATGTTCACAGAGGTAAATAAATGCCCAGAAAAGCTCAAGTCACCCATCTGGTGGGACCAAGATTCACGCCCAGGCAGTGTGACTGTAGCCAAAGCCTTGCTCTTCCCCACTGTGCTGTCTCCCATCCCTCTGGGAGGGTGCCATCGCCACCTCAGAACACACACCATCCTTCCCCCACTGATTTCAGGTTGGTAGATGATGAGAGCTGGACATTACAGGACTTGTTGCTTTCTCTCTGTCCTAAAATTAATTTCTTTAATTTATAGGACTCCTAGCTCTCTATTTTAAAATCATTTTAAATATAGAAATATAGCTGCTGTAGGAAGTGCAGAAAAACCCAAAGCACCTTTAGAGAGTTCTTTACAAACAGGCTCAGTAAAAGGACAGCATGTCCCCAGCCCAGGTGATGTCCACACAGGAACTGCTGGAGACACTCCAGAGCACCCAACCCTGAAAGCCAAGCTCTGGCCTGTTTTCCAGATATTTACTCAACACTTCACATGCCCACTGAACTGTGTGAAAACATACCCAAAAGCTCTTCCTGAAATTCTGGTCATTTTCTAAGAAATTTTACATTTTGCTTTAAAGAAAATCTAATACTAGAACCATAAACATATGCAGTGACCAAATAATGTCCTACCATGGTCCCAGGGCCAGGGAGAGAACCCAGAAATGCCAGAGCAAAAACTCAAGATGGCTCAAGTTGTGGGAACATATGGAAATTTTTCCAGCCCAAATCATAGAGCTCCACAGGGAGGAAAAAAAAGATTCCTACCAAGCAAGATGCCACAGTATAAATGTTTAGAATTTTAGCCACAGGCCAGTCCTGGGGGTATTTTGTTTTGTTTTGTTTAGTGCAGACGGACACAATACCTTTATTTTTATTTATTTCTATGTGGTGCTGAGGATCAAACTCAGTCCCTCACATGTGCTAGGCAAATGCTCTACCACTAAGCCACAACCCAGCCCACGGCAGGGGAGGCAGGGTGTAATTAGAGTCCCTGATTACCCTCAGAAGTTTCCAGGCTCTAAATAAGATGAATCCAGGAAATCTGTAAGACCATTAGGACCAGAACAGTCAACAAAGACCATTCATGCCTCAACTTCCTTATCTGTACAAGTAGAATACTTCATAGGTAGGGTTATCGTGAGAAAAAATATTCATTCACGTTGAGAAAATGTAAGGGTGCAGGCATATCATCAAACTACGCATCAAATGTTCATTACTATCATCATCATCCAAAATACCCTGACAGAGATAGGAGATGAAGGGCAGGGTTACACAATGTTAGCTAATTCATGCTATTTCCTATTGTAATCTTTTAAAGATGGTCTCTCTTATGTTTCCATTTTGGGATGAGAAGTAAACCAGTCATTCTTTTAAAGCACTATACTATACAATAGCATCAATAACAGAGACATTAATGAATCAAGCTCTGTATCTTGGAAAAACATAGTCCATGTAGTCAACTCAAAGACTCACCAAAATACCAGCAAACCTCCAGGAAAGCTTCCCAGGACAAATGTCCTCTTATACAATATATTACATCAGAGATACATACAGAGATCCCTCTCATAGTGGCCTCCACTTCCTCATCTCAATTCAACATACCCAAACATAAATGCAATTGCCATTTCCTTTGAGTTAGTATAAAAAGTGGCTAAGTACACATTCATGAGAAAATATACAAGTAAAAACTAAAATCAAAGGCATCTCACTTGCCAAGAAGTAGAGTTTCTCATAAACAATACACTACTATTCCCTTACTTCATCCTGCAAATAAACCCAAAGGAAATAATCCAATTTTGTTAATGGTTCTCAGCCAACAAGAGACAAGTTATACCTCCATAAACAAACTGTGAGGCTCCCAGAAGTAGTCAAAGTCATCCACAAAGGGCAAAGAAAATGAAGGGGTAGACAAAGACATGGAGTTCTTGGGAAATAGTCCTAAGAAAATAACCTGTCAGGTGAATTAACCCAAGGAAGCCTGAACTAATCAGGAAGCAAAATGAAACTCAAAGCCCTTGGGTTTTGTCTTTCTCTGCCCCTCATTTTGTTCAGAGAAGCAGCTATGAAGTAAAGGGTAGAGCCTTGGTACACATTGAACGTGAGTTATGGCAAGAAGTTCATCTACCCATGTCACACACTGCTGATTTGGAAAATATATGATATAAACCTTGAAGTAACACTAAAGAACTTGAATACATGATAAAATTCTACTAATTCTCCAAGTTTAACCCAAAATTTCTCCCTCCCACCCAGCCATCCCATTCAGAGATGATGCTTTTATAGGTCAAATGTGTATATGCTTATCAGAGACAAGTATCTCTCACTAAGCCTCAGCTGCTTATCCAGCACCCCGAGACATTCAACTGTCTTGTTCCTACCCCTGAATTGGAAGACAAACATTGATAATCAAGCCTTTGCTAATAAGAATTGGGCTGTCACTTTACTTGTAAACTAGACATTTATAACTTCACTCAGATGGCTTCTATGAAGCACCTGGTCCCAATCAACCATATGTGTCACGCCTCTGATAACACAATATACAGATGTCACTCACCTCTGTATTTTCAAAGGGCAAAATCCAACTTCAACCAAACATTTCCCAGGCTGCTCCTAAAGATATAGTTTATACATATGTAAACAGAAGTTAAATGTGCAGTTTTATGTGAGTGAAGAGAAAGCAGACAGAGGGGAATGGTTCTCCTGCCGAACGTAAATAATATTTGTTTAAGCAGAATGCTTAGGGCCTGAGAGA